ATGTTAGCTAAAAGGCAACTAGCTAATGTTAGCTAACAGGTGACTAGCTAATGCTAGCTAAAGGGCGACTAGCTAACACCAATACAGCACCGTAAGCTTGTTAACTAGCAGCCTGTAGGCTACTGAGGTTGTCTGTGTTCAACACTGGGTAGTACTTGTTACATTCACTTGAGTAACTTTTTTGGAAAAAAGGTTCTTTAGAGTAGTTTTACTGCACTGTACCTTTTTCTTTTACTTGAGTAATATTATTATTATTGCTGCGTAGATTCATTTTGCCCCCCCGTTAAACTCGTCTGTTGCCGGGCTGGATAAACAACATTTTTATAACATCTCCAGGTAACAAAGTCTCTGCCCCTTTAACAGTCAGATTCACTAATGGTGAACCTACATGTGGATAAAGCAGCGCCACCCAGTGGACACATTGAACTATGTCTGTCTGTAATGACACGGTCGCTCTGGATCCGTTCCGGTTCCGGTCCTTCTCTTCGTTCATTCATCTTTTGGGTTAATAAATACACTGACCGTCAGCAATTATCATTTATTGAAACTTCACTGAAGAAACAGGGAGGGGAGGGGTCTCCATGGCAACAAGTCACACAAACACACATCACTGTCAATACCATCGCCATGGTTACTGATGCTGGGCAGTACTTCATCTCACAGGAAGTTACATCACAGAGCCCAAGAGGAGAAGCCATGAGGATGAACAACTGAGGAAGAGGAGAGCATGAAGAAGGAGACGAAGAACAAAGGGAAAAGAAGAAATTGATAAAATGATGCACAGAAGGTGAGGGAGAGGAGGAAAACATATCTGATGAAGCACTGACATGAAATGATCTCACACACACCTGAACAGGAAACAGGAAGTAGAATCACACTGATCTGCAGTTACTGAACAACACAAAAAGAAAACACGTCACCATGCAGAGGAGGATACCGACGCTAGAAACAGCTTCACATTGAAAAAACAACCCAAGAAGAAGAAGAGGAGGAGGAGGAAGCATCAGAGTTTTCAGGAGAACGTTCCAGAGAGAGCTGTGATTGGCTGAGAGCAGGGAGTCGCTGAAGACTTCTGGAGGTCTTCATCCTTCAGAAGGTCTCACGTCAGATGCATTACCAGGGAAATTCCTACAAGCGCAGCAGCTGCCTGAAAGTCCAACATGGCCACCAGAGGAAGAATTCATCTGACACAAGAAACTGCTGAGTGAAAATAATCACTGGTTGCCATGGTGATTCCCTCTCTATCTGGGAGTCTCCAAGCAGCAATTTTCATTAGACAGAACAGACCAGAGCTTCGTCTCAAACCAACGTTCACAAAGGATCACGTGGAGAGCTGATGGGTTAAACCGGCAGAACCTTCAGGACCAGTTCTGAAGGTTCTGGGTGGACGTTTGGTCCCTCAGATGGACATCTGGGGCTTCAGAAGGACGATAGGGCCCTCAGATGGCCGATTGGGTAAGATGGACAATTGGGCCCTCAGATCAAATATTGGGCCTTCAGATGGACGATTGGGCCCTCAGAAGGATGTTTGGACCTTCAGACATTTCTTCAGCAGGAATGTAATAGATAGCTGCACACAGCTTGTTAATTGGACTTGCAATGACAGGAAGCCATTTTGGATCTAGTTTCCATGGACGCCACCATGCCAGCGTCCAGGCTGCATTCGCTACAAGTCCAGACTGACATCACTTCCTGTGTGGGTATTTACATGCAGCAAGACAAAGAGCTGGGAGGCGATGCTGGTGGACCGGCGGCTCATCGTTTTCTATCCGGATCTTCGTTTGGTTCTGATCTGAACCGGATCGTTGAACCCAGTCTGAACAGCATTGATTGGCAATTTGGTTTTTGGGGGCATGGCTTATTGCAACAAGAAATCCCATGGTCCAATAGGAAGCGAGAAGAAAGGGTTGAGATTATATATCTGTTCATAAGTGATATCTATACAACACAAACATACATTCTGTCCACAAATACAGACCCGAACATGAAGATCAACCAGAACCTCTGGGTTCTACTCAGCACTGCTTGGTCTAGTTGTGGGTTTCTCATTTAGATTCTCTTTTCGTCATTTACACACTGATTCACAGCAGTGAACATTTATCCCAACCCCGCCCAGTAATGTCGCAGGCAGACTGGAGTGTTGCATTGTGGGTAGGTTGCAGGCGACCCACTGCTGGTTCACTCCGGCACTTCCTGTGACAGAAACACCAACATCAGGTGATGATGTCCGGTTAACATCCAGCCTTCACTCAGCAGCATCGCCTGGACTCACCTGCTTCCTCTCGCCTCACATCTGATTGGAGAAGGAGGTGGGCGCCCCCTGCTGCCCGTAGCCTTGACCGTACTCAGCCTCCTGGTGACAGAAACACAGAGATCCAGCTCAACATCGCACATTCATCTAGTGGACATCGTGTTGGGAACCAGGATGACTCAGAGGTTCTCTGATGGATGTGGAGCCCCCTGGTGTCCAGGAAACTCACTGCTATGGTCAAGAACCCAGAAGATAATCAGAGTTTGCCAACAGGGAGCAACATCAACAGCCATGTCATGTTCTTCTGATGCTCACTTTGACCTCCAGCAGCATCTCTTTTCCTAAATACTTTAGGTTGCCACC